TTTTTTTTTTTTTTAATTCCTCTGACAGGAGAGAGAGGCCTCTCCTTAATTGGCTTGAAACAATCTACCTCGTCCAACTGGTGCCTTTGGAAATCTTCTGTGAAATCATATTTCCCCTGACCCCCTGGAAAAGACATTTCCCTTTTGTCCCCCTGTTGCTGACCTCTGTGTACTGTGCCCTGGGTGTCACGTACGCTTGGCTGAAGCTCTACCTCTCTGTCCTGACCGAGAGAATTCCTACCAGACAAAAGGCCGAGTGAAGCTGTGGGTGTTTGGGACCGGACCCCCCCTCTGAGGGGACAATCAGGGTTGTCACAAGGACACACGACTCTCGATAAAACACGGCGTTACGGGTACCATCGCCACGAGGGGAGTCTTCCTTCCGATGCTTCCAAGGAGGATACCTCCAAAGGGAAGCTCTCACCCCTCACAGTGGGGATGTGGTGAGATGCCACTTGCCGTGGATAAACTGTGAAGCTTAACGAGGTCCACACTTCCGTCCCGAGCAAAACTGCCCCACTTTCCCATTACTGTCTAGATTTAAATCAAAATCAGTGGTGAATTACAAATAAGGGATCATTGCTATGTAGAAGAGAGCGTTGTGACTGCAATCAGTGGAATATGTCAATTAAAGAGTTGGTATTTTTTCTTTGACTGTTTCTTGCAATTTTTTTATCTCGTCTCTAAGCCCTGCTTTTTGGGGGACGCCCACAAAAGCAAGGATGTAGCATCTGGCTGGAAACTTGTCCTGAGGTGCTTTGTCAAGCTCTTGAACACCCCAGTCCGAAGCTTTACTTTGTTGCTTAATGTGTCTGTGCTCCTTTGATCTTCTTTCATACAGTCTTTGCAAAGAAGTTTTAATATTCTTGTAATCATATTTTTGTAGAGCAGGTTGCCTCATTTCAGACGTACACCTCGATTTGATATTGTTTTAAGACCATTAAATGTATTGGACAACGTGGCTGGATAATTGTGTTTATTTGCAATCCATGTAAAACTGCAACCAAGACAGAAGACTAAGTCTCCATAGCTCTAGTAAACTGAGGATGAGGTGTACTGTGTTCTGCCTCTTCAGGATTTTTTCATAAAAAAAAATCCAAAAAGCCACCTTTATCAAGACCTTGCTCTAGGAATTGGGGTCTGGGTTGGAGCCCAGCACTGACACCTGAAATGGGGAAGAGGAAAGGGATGGATTTAATTGTATTTCTTTTTCCCAGTGGTTCTTGAATTTTCTTCCACATAAATTGGAGAAGGTGACTCCCTTTGGGGGAGATAGACCCTGGAATGGTCGTGCTCTTTTGTGTTCTTTGAATATTTTGGATGTTAAAACAGAGCATGGCATTTGTTAGGACAAAACAGTAGTTGCTGTGGCCATTTTGATAAATATCTTGCACATTTAACTTTTCAGGGCCAATGAGCTCACTTTCAGAGTTTCATTACTTTCAGCTTTGTTACTCCATTAATTACTTTGCCTTAGGTCTAAGCCTCAAATCTCTTCACAGATTGCTCGTGTTTATCTGTCTATAGGTGCCATCCTGTGTAGGGGAATGGTAATATGCTTAAAAAAGCCCTCTCCCTGTCCTTCTCCAGCACTGCCTTTGCAAACAGCCCAAATCTTCCAAGGAGTGCTGCTCCACTTTGGCATCTCCCCCTAAGGAGCAGTGACAGACAAACCTCTTCTTTTTTGGAGAAAAGCTGAATAATAAATTCTTAGGAGAGAGGCTGGGAAACCTTTAGGACCTGTGATGGGTTCAAACGTGGGGTTTTTAATGGTTACGTTAAGGGAGACCTTGCTCTCTACAACTCCCTGAAAGGAGGGTGTAGCCCCGGGGGGTTGGTCTCTTCTCCCAAGGAACAGGTGATGGGACAAGAGGAAATGGACTCAAGTTGCCCCAGGGGAGGTTTGGATTGGATATTAGGAAAAAAATTATTCACCAAAAGGGTTATCGAGCATTGGAACAGGCTACCCAGGGCAGTGGTGGAGTCACCATCCCTGGAGGTATTTAAAAGCTGGGCAGACATGTGTTTGTCCAGGGACATGGGTTAGTGATGGGTTTGTCAGTGTTGGGTTGATGGTTGGACTCAATGATCTCAAAGGTCCCATCCAACCTTGACAATTTGGTGTCAATCCTTGTGCTGTTAAAATGGTTTCAATGATACGGGGTTGGAAGGGACCTCTGGAGATCATCCAGTCCAACCACCCTGCCAGAGCAGGGTCCAACCAGAGCAAGTTCCACAGGAACGTGTCCAGGTGGGGTTTGAACGTCTCCAGAGAAGGAGACTCCACCACCTCTCTGGGCAGCCTCTTCCAGGGCTCTGCCACCCTCAAAGTGAAGAAGTTCCTCCTCAAGTTTAGGTAGAACTTCTTATGTTCAAGTTTGTGCCCATTTCCTCTTGTCCTGTCCCTGAGCACCACTGAAAAAAGACTGGCCCCATCCTCCTGACACCCACCCTTTAAGTATTTATAGGTGTTGATCAGATCCCCCTCAGCCTTCTCTTCTCCAGACTAAAAAGACCCAAGTCCCTCAGCCTTTCCTTGTAAGAGAGATGCTCCAGGCCCCTCATCATCTTTGTGGTCCTCTGCTGTTATTTTTACAGTAATAAAAAAACCTTAGCAACGTTGTAGTGTTAGCCTTTAATCTGTTGGCCAGATGGGCTTTGAAAAGAAATTGGGGTTTGATTTCAGGGTTTAATTAAAGCCCTAATTTAATCACAGACATGGGGGCCTGGGGCCAAGCTGCTTCACCCCGAGCCCTCAGGATTCGGTCCCCAGTAAATCCACCCGATCTGGTGAGGGGGCGAGTTTGTGGCCGGTGTGTGTGTGGAGGGGTGAGTTCTGTTGGGTTTTGGGATGGAGTTATATTTTTTTTTGGTGAAATAACGACAAGCGGTGACGGGCGGCGGAACCCGAGTGCGCGGCGGCGGGGGGCGGGCGGAGGCTGCCGCTGCAGCACCGCTCCGCCCGGTCACCTTGGGGCGGGGG